TTTCTATTTTTTATTAATATATTTTTTTCCTCTGATTCTGTGAATAGCAAGAGAGAGAAGCATAGGTCTGAAAGTGCTTTTTGAGTGTCCCAAAGAAATGTGGCAGCAGACACTTAAAAAAGCTGAAAGTTTTTTTGATACTTTTACATTGTTGTTTTGTAGTCAGATGAGAGAAGAAGGGAGAGTGTGTTGTGTTTGTGTAGTGTGTTGTGTAGGGGACCATTCTTTCATCATTTTTTTTTCTATTTTTTTTTTGATTATTTATTTATTTATTTATTTATTTAATTATAATAATAATTTCATATGTCATTTTCAGGCATTTTCACTTGGTTATTAACCATTGCATCTTTTGCAGAAGTTTTTCAGAGACCCTTTTTTTTTATATATTTATTAATAGCTTTCATCTTTGCTGACAGTAGGGTACCTCTACACTTCAGAAAATAAAATAAAAAAAAAAAAACAAAAAAAACAAGACAATAGCATTATATAGAGAATCTTTGCTTTCTTTCTTTGAATGAACTGTTATCAAGTTATAAAGAAGGCATGTTTGTCCTAACACTTGCAATACTGGTCTACTGCTGAGCTATTTTCTGATACCCCTTTCAAGTTTTTTAAATTTTTCTTTAATTGGTTTCTTGGTTTAATTGGTCAATAATTAAGTAGTAGTAGTAGGGATAATTGGTAGGCAAATTTTTGAATTTTACAACGTGGTATCACAATCAAGATTTATTATTGTTACAAATATATCCAATCATTTTTTTTACAAATTCGATATTTCGTATTTGTTAATCCAAATCAATCGGTGATACTGCGTTGTTGAATTTGACCATCAATGCATACTATCTTTATCTTGCGCATATATATATATATATAATAACAAAGATAAATAGCTCATATGAAAATTTTATTCATCAAATTTTTAAAAATATTATATCTCGTCATTATATTTACTATATAAATATATACATATAATTTCAATTTTTAAAATTAGGGCCAAGTCAAATTGGATTGACCTAGTTGGTCTATGCTCAAGTAGGGAAAATTCGAGCCTACCCATGTGGGCACTGCCCACATGGGATTTTTTACCGTTGATTTACACATAAACACACACACACCCACATGGGTGTGTGTGAAATCAATGGTAAAAAACCCCATGTGGGCAGTGCCCACATGGGTAGGCTCGAATTTTCCCTACTTGAGCATAGACCAACTAGGTCAATCCAATTTGACTTGGCCCATTAATTTTAAAAATTGAAATTATATGTATATATTTATATATAGCATGTGGGTGTGTGTGTGTTTATGTGTAAATCAATGGTAAAAAATCCCATATAGGCAGTGCCCACATGGGTAGGATCGAATTTGCGTAGAGTTATGTTTGGCTTTGACCGGTTCAATCTGAGTATACAAAAATGTTTATTACCGCGCAATTCAATAATGATTGTAAGATAACACTTAGTACATTTCGCCCACGACCTTACATAGTTCAAAACAACTCTGGCCAATAAAAAGTACCGATAACAACGCATATATGATGATGGCATTTTAAAGTTTATCAGTGTTGAAAATGATATAAAGACTCACTACAAAAAAACACTACAATTCCAACGGCAAAAATTTTCGTTGAAAATTTCAATGAATATTATAACAAGTTTAATTTTATGTTGGAATAAGTGTTGGATAGTTAAGGAATTCAGACGAATTTTTTCCGTTGGAATAGCTGTAGGAATTTATTATCATAGGATTTTCCGTTGGATATTTGTTATTCCAACGACGTAAAAATATCCGTTGGAATAACTATTCCAACAGAAATATAAGAAATTACAACGGAAATTTACTGTTGGAATGTAAGAGTTTTTTTTGTAGATGATAAGTTGTGGGAAAAGTTCATATTCTATGTAGAAAGTAGTTGGTTTAATTGTATTATTTATTAACTTGAAACATTATCTTGATAAATTCAGTACTATTTTTTTCTTTCTTTTTTTTTTTTACTAAAAATGCTTTGACTTCTTGACGTGGCGGGAAAATTTTGTGTTTTTACGCTATATAAGATATGCTATCTCTACAAATTTTTATTTTTATTTTTTTTTGTTGTAATTTAATTCAATTTTAGTAAATTTTTAGTGTAATTTCATATAATCTTAGGTAACGACCCGAGGTATTTCTCCTCGCACCGGCATCTCAGGTTTTCTCACCCCGACCGAATTTGTACAATCGATGCCACAAAGAAAGTCAAAACCTATCGGGAGGTTTTTTTATTCTAAGCGGTTATTCTATTTTAGGGCATAAAAAACTTGTTATTCTTAACTTTTGGGCTCAGGAATTCTTATCTAATTTAAGTGATACAGTCAAAGCATATTTTGTATAATGTGTATTAGTAAATGCTTTATCATGTTAAATAACTTTGTGTTTTTATGTATTAAAAGAAATTACCACACATACATAAATCATAAAATGTATAAACAAACACATCATGATTAAAATTCAAATATGATAACATAAAAATCTACTTAACACATGAATAAAAAAATAATATAAGATAAATATGCATATATATTAGAATTTATTTGTAATAAAAAAATGAGTAGATAAACAATATTTAATGTGGAGGTTTTTCAATACAAGACTTGAAAAATAAGTGAACAATTAAATCGGGGCCTGAAAGATTTTTTTTTCTCAATTTGGGCCCTAAATTTTTTAAAACTCTCAAAATTAAGTTCTAGAATTAACAAAACTCATAACCCCATTAAAATGAGAGTTTTTTTTTTTTAAAAAAAAATTAGTGCTTACTCACATAAAATAATAAGTAAATATTGACATAATATTTCCAAAAAAAATAGATGATAACAAGAAAATCGAGTAAGAGTTTCATACTTTTCTTAATTTTCTCCAACAATCTCGTATTTTTCTTATTTTTTTTTCATTTTTTTTTTACTTTGTAAGAAATTTGGTGTTTTAAAACCTCAAATTAACTTTCAATTTAATGGTGTTATGAGTTTTCTTAATTATAAGACTTAATTTGATAGTTTTATAACATTTAGATTTCGAATTGAGGAAAAAATCTTTTAGGCCTTATTTGATAGTTTACTTATCTATCCGGCCTTGTATTAAAAAAACTCCTAATAATATAGAGTAAAATGCAACGCAAACGGCTAGAGACGAAACTAAATATTTGGTTTATTCTACTCTCTCGCGTTAGAGTAGAGATAAGAGCTGAAATAGTGTAACGTTGAAAATTGAGCAGCATAAAAAAGAAAGATCTAAAAAATAGTAAAATATAAAGAAAAAAATTAAGTAAAATAAACGGATACCGACATATTAGTTAACTTGCTCATCATTACCAAGTTTGACCGAAGAAACCAAAAAAAAAAAAAAAACATTTATGAAAAAAAAAAATTGCACACATCAACATTTAATTTCAAAATGGGATCTATCTAATAGCTAAGCTAATATAGCAGTGCAGGAGGCCTCCTTCCTTCAGGATGAAGCGGGTAGATGGATCGAGGGGATCCTCTTGAACATTGGCATTTGCACCATTACGGGTGCAGAGTTCTGGAGTCTATTTCAGGGGTTGCACATAGCTTGAGAGTTGGGTTATCGCCGAGTAATTGCCGAGGTAGACAGTTAGTGTATTACGAAAATGATCTTGGGTTCGGAAGGCACTCTTGGGACTCATGGAGCGATGGTCCAGGCCATTGGCAGTATGATTCGGCGCGAATGGGATGTTAAGATAGTCCACGTTCACAAGGAAGCTAATTTTGCGGTTGACCACCTGACGAGCTTAGCAGTTTCCCGCCCTATTGGTTTATAGAAAATTTCCTCCCCTCCTCCAGAGATGAGCATGTGGCTGGAGCACGACATCATTGGTGTGTCGTACCGCGTAAGGTCAAATTTAATATTGTCCATCATTTGTATACGCAGATCAAATTTAATAACTAGAAATTTATTTATCATTAGATATTTATTTATCATAAAAGATCATCAATTCACGTCCACTTTTTCCGCAACTCTGTGATTGCAATAATGCTTTTGATTCATTAGAGAAAGATGAAAGCAAAATTGTGTACATATAATATATTCTATCATCATTTTGTACTTTCACTCAATTACAACATCATTTTTTATTTTATTTTATATTTTTTTTCTGCTGCCAACAACTCTTTCCCTTTGCGTGTCAAAAATGAATTTCAATTGTTCACCTCAAATTACACTTGTGCTGCATAAAATCTTCCTTTTTTTTTTTTTGTGGGCTCCCATAAAAAATAAATAAAAAAAGCTCCCAAACCCTTTTATTTTTTATTTTATTTTCACCCATCATTTTTTAGGGAGATGCTACGGTCCCGTTACGGAATTATTCCGTTGGGGTTTGTAACCGTTTGATCATCAAGTAACCATGAGAAGATAGTTGATCTAACAGTTACAAATCTCGATAAAATGATTCCATAAAATGACCGTAGCATTTTCCTATAAAAAAACCCATTGCTCATTTTTCTCTCTCTCACACCATCACTAAAAAAACTGTCATTTCCATCCATTATATTCAAGAAACTCTATTACCATTTACCATCACATATCATTCAAAACCCAACAACAATTTTTTTTTTTTTT